CCGCAAACTCGCCGCGACGTCCGCCGCGCCGTCGAGGCGCGCGCCGCCGACGAAGACGGCCGCGGCGCGCGCCTCGCGGTTTTCGCCGCCGCCGCTCGTCGGCCGCAGGTGCAGCGGCGCGCCGCGGTCCCAGTGGTCCCGCAGCCGCGCCAGCGCGCCGGACCACACCGCGGCCATGGCCTCGAAGCTCGTCATCCCCGCGAGGCGCAGCGCCAGCAGCGCCGCCAGATCGCCCGCGCCGCAGGTCGTCGCCGCGGCCGCCGCGTCCCGGGCGCCGACGCGGTAGGGCGCGCCGTCGCCGCCGTCCTCGTCGTCGTCGTCGCCGTCGTCCATGGCCGGCCGCGGCGCGTCGAAGAGCTCGCTCAGGAGCGCCTCGAGCCGCGCGGGCGCGAGCGTGCCCGCCCGGAGCGCGAGGTCCCGCGCGCGCGCGCGGACGTCGGCCCGCAGCTCCAGGTCGTCGAGGCGCACGTCGGCCCGCGCCGCGAGGCCGCCGTCGAAGCGGCTCTCGGGCGGCGCCGCCGCCGCGAGCGCGTAGAGCGCCGCGAGCCGCGCGATCGCATCGCCGAGCGGCGCCGCCGCGTCGTCGCCGTCGTCCGCGTCCGCCTCGAAGGTCGCGGCGCAGCGCCAGGCCGGCGCGTCCAAAGCCCGGAACGAGCTCAGCGCCGCGCGGGGATCGTCCAGGACGTCGCCCGCGCGCCGCGGCGGCCACTCCGCGCCGAGCGACACGCGCGCGACGGGCGACGACTTGGGCCCCCACAGAGGCTCGCCCCGCCGGTAGCCGCTGCGCCGCTGGCCGAGCTCGCCCCCGAGGAGCCGCGCGGCCGCCGCGTCGTCGTCGGTCTCGGGCCTCCGCCACGCGACGCGCGCGACGCTGCCGCCCCAGATGGGCAGCTCGCGGCGGTCCGCGACCCAGCCGTAGCGCGCGGCGACGGTCGCGCCCGCCGCGCCGCCGCCCGTCCGCGCGGCGAGGCGCGCGACGACGCCCGGCGCGAAGACGCCGCCGCCCGCGGGCTCGACGGCGACGTCGAGGTCCGCGGCGGCGGGGAACGCGGCGGACGCGCCCCGCAGGAGCACGGCCCCGCGGCCGCCGCGCTCGGCGACGACCACGGGCAGGCGCACGCCCGCCTCGGCGCACGCGAGCGCGCCCGCGGCGAGCACCGTGCGGCACCGCGCCTCGCCCGCGGCGTCGTCCGCGTCGCCCTTGCCCGTGAGCTCGTCGGCCGCCGCGACGGCCGCGGCCTCGAGGGGCCCGCCCTTGACGGGCGCGACGAGCTCGCGCGCCGCCAGCGCCAGGGACGCCGCGGGCGCGCCGAGGTCCGCGGGCGCCGCGGCCGACCCGCGCGCGGATACGACGACGGCCTCGCGGACGCCGAAGAGCGCGCGGAGCGCGCGCCGCGCCTCGCCGTCGCGGCCGGGCTCGAGGAAGCAGGTCCAGTCCGTGCCGGGGCCGAAGTCGTCCTCGCTCGACGCCTCGGCCGCGTCCAGCGGCAGCGGCCACGGCGGCGCGGCCGAGTCCGAGAAGTGCGCGACGCGGTAGGGCCGCCCGTCGAGCGAGACCTCCGTCGCGCGCACGGCGCGCGGGCCGTCGGCGGCGTAGGTCTCCGCCGACGCGCCGAAGCCCACGGTCTTCTTCCCGCCCGCGGCGCTCTGGGGCGTCGTCCCGAGGCCCCAGCTCTCGAGGAGCTCGCTCAGGCACCCCACGCACTTCTCGAAGGGCGTGTTCATGCTGTAGTCCTCGTAGATGGACGTGACGAGCTCCTCGTCGCTCAGCGCGACGATCGTCGAGCGGCGGACCATCTTCGTCGTGGAGTTCCTCGGGGTCGAGAGCTAGTGCTCCATTTTGTGGCAATTCAGGTCTTCACCAAGAAGTGCAACAAAAGTGAATTAGACGACGCAGCCCCCGCCCGCCGCCACTGCCACCGACAACTTGCTTTGCAATTAGACGACGCAGCCCTGCCGCGGCCACCGCGCGCCGCAGCCGCTGCTCGCGTCGCACTCCATGTCCGACGCCGAGGTCGCCGTGCCGGCGAACTACCTGCAGACGCGCTTCGTCGGCCTCTTCCACGCCGTCGCCAGCAAGGTCTTCTGGGCGGGCTTCTTCTGGGAGCTCTTCGGGGAGTGCCTCGCGGACAACAAGTACCACACGGCCAAGTACGCGTTCCTCACGGGCCTCGGGGACTCGTCGGGCGTCGTGGCGGGCCACCTGCTCTATTTCACGGCGCTCGCGGGCTGCTCCATGGACGCGCCGGCGCAGGAGTGGCCGGCGGCGCGGCTGCTGGGGACCGCGTCGTTGGCCACGGGCACGTGCTGGCAGCCCCTCGTCAACCTCTGCCTCGACGACTTCGGCTTCGGCTTTTTGTTGACCT